CGGTGTAGTTTCAGTCGTAGGCTTTCACTGCTCCAGCAGTTTCTGTTCTGTTCATGTAGAGAAGTTTAGCTGACCACAGTTATTTTTTTAGGCCGCCTCTTTTGTCAGCCATATTAGGGCAATTTAAACTATGCGGTGGTAATAATCACAATACAGGTTGGTAGCCATCAACTGGAGATGTTGGAGGCACACATGCATGTGGTGGGTGGTACACGTCCTTTCATTTTCACTGACATTGTTTTGTGGGGTGTTATTTCTGAGAAAGGAACTGAAAATTTCATGACAGCTCTGCTGCTTTCAATCTTGGTAAAAGTTTAGTACTGTAAATGATATGGACCAAAAGAAATTCATGTACATGTACATACATGTAAATGCATAAAAGATATCCATGCACCGATTTCAACCTTTGAATGACCAAGATCATATTTTAAAGTTGTAATGTTGGTGTTGATGGAGAATGGAAGGTTGGTACTTCACCCGTTCTGTTAAAATTTTGTCCATTTGCAAAGTTAAAAACTTTACCAAGGATCCCTAACATACATGTACATGTATAATCAGGCAGGCAAGTTTTCCTTGGATCAGCTGATTTACTGGTTTTTCTCTCCACACTCGTGCCATTGCAAATGGTAAAACAATGTACAAAGCCTTGTAAAGATCAGATATTCCTCATTTTTGTCAAAGTCCAAGTTGAGTGCTTGTGTAACAGTAGTTTCTAAACCTGGAAGTTTCTGTTTAACCATCTTGCCTGGCACATATACATGTACGTACTGGTATATGTGCATGTATCTGTTTGAGTACATTATTGAAGAGCAACCCCAATGGTGGTAAAAAAAATGAGGTATACAGTTTAATATACTTGTGTACTTTTGAATAATTAGTAATAATGTGATCAAAATGTAGACCAGTTCTGCAGGTTTTTCACAAACTGTCCATGTTTGTACTGTTGGTGGCACCACGCAGAAATGCTTTTTGATTACATACCACCATGGGGAAAAAAAGGTCATGATCTTGCGGGACGCCTGAGCTGCACGGCGTAGCCGGACACTTTTTTTGGAATAAATTAACAACATAAAAACATTGAAAACATCTGTCCTTCGCTCTGAATGTACCCAGCCGTATTTATCAAACAATCTTGGTCTCCTTCACCGCCTCGTTCACCAACGGTGACCCCATCATCAGCCCGATCGGGATCCCGTCGGCGCGCAGGTGGCACGATGGGTTCAAAGTGGTACATGTAAGGCTCTGCACCTTGTACTTGGGACAGTGTATAACTGGAACTACACACGCGTTACTGTACTATGTGTAAATATGTGCATTGACGTGACCGCGCCGGCTCGATGTATACATGCACAAGCCAGAGAACCATTTCCACGGTGCTACGTTGACAACATTCTGGAAAAGCCATATTCTTGAGATGTAAATGAAGCGATGATGATACACTCCTTTCACGAAAGCTAGCCATGGCACTTGGCAGAAACGGTTCTCAAAATTGCGGGTTTTTTACCAAAAATATTGCTGAGTCCTTGTTTACGTGGCATAGATGTCTATAATGGGATCTAAGTAAACATACTACAGCCAGATTTTTGGTTTTCTTCCACCGTTGGGGTTGCTCTTTAAATTGCCTTTCATAGATTGACAGTACATGTACATGTACCAAGAATCTGTAGGCTTGACCCTTGACCAGTCTCAGTCATGTTTATTCCCATTCTGTCAGTGGATTCCTGTTTAGTTAGGCCCACGACTTTTACAACCAAGTGCATGAAATTCGGTCCAAAAAGTGGTTGGACTAAACGTACCGGCATGATCAATTTCATTCTGCCATTACCTGCTTCTGATAGGACCAGGTCACATGACAACATGCTCTCACCGTTTACATGTACGTGTAGTAAGCACAAATCTATGGCAACAACATCCCAAAAGTTGTGTATTTGGGACTTTCAGCTTGACTTTTCCTTCTGAAATTCTGTCGAACCACTTCTGTGTTTGGTCAGATACATGTACCCAAAGTGGTCGGAAAAATGGTAGACATCCAACTTTAATTTCACGCTCTGACTCGTACATATTTATATATCAACAATCAACATACAATTGTTCAACAGCAGGCATCATTTACCCCATGAAGACCAGACCCATGGAACATGTATATAGGCACTTTGTGCAAGCCTAGAACCGAAAGCATATCTACAGAATTCAGTGTCGGTTGTGTGAAATTGCCAAACTTTGCGCGCATCCAGTCTGCAGTGCACTCTGGGATTTTTTACCAAAACATTGTGAGTGCATGTTCACACCAGCTATAGTGTATCCCAGTGCCAATTTAGTACATTTGTCTTGCAATTTTAGTTTGTGTGTCTAGGATTTTCGGACATTGGCTAAAACTAAAGGAACTGTGAAAGCTTTTAAGGGGCACCTTCATTTGTGCTCACAACCAGGAGCCTTACCCCACCCCATCTCATCTCACCCAACCCTACCCAGCTCCAGCATTTGTACATGTATGTACTCCCCAGCTGGACCTTACAGCCACCCAATTCCCTATGTACCCTAATTCTTGTACCCATTCTAACCTCTGTGCCAAACCGTTTAATTGACATGTCTTTCTGTTAAACCCTTGTAGCAACCCAATCCTTAATACCGAAACCGAACCCTTGTATCCATTTTTACCCTTGCACCCAATCCAACCCTTCTGCCTGCACTCAACTGTATTCCATTCTATTTCATATACGCCCACCCATGCCCGTTATCGGAACCCTACCCTATCTCCCCTTTGTCACTGTTAACCGCGCTCTTTCCCCAACATTCCCATCCAGTAACCAGTGTGCGCAAACTGAACCCTTTTCAAGTTGTCAAGTAATTTAATACCTCATTAACCCTAACAGTCCTCAATCCTTCACCTGTTGGAGGACTGAGGACTGTTAGGGTTAAAAGAAAGGCCCAACTCCATCATTTTAGCCTAGGAGAGAATTTCCGATGCAACTCCTTAAAAAATAGTCATTTATTCTTTTGAACTCAAAGAAAGTTTTGAGTTAATTGGCCCTTCTTTCAGTTAGGTGTTCAATTTTATGATTTTTACATTTTGGTAACACGGTAAAAGTCAAACACTATCCTTGGAAGAAATTTCTAGAATGCTTCCTGTCATTGAGAGTGAAAATTAATGACTGTTGTGAAAGAAGCCTGATGGAAATTTACAACTGACTTTTTGTACCACCTTTTTTTTACAGTCATCAAAGGTTGGGGAAACCGTGTAATTTTGGATGGCGGTGTAGAATTCCTGCACCGGTAAACTCCAAAAAAAATTTCTCCTGAACCTTTTCTTGTCAACATGCGACAGTGCCGTGCAGAAACCAAACCACAAGAAAGATTATGCAACCAGGATCATCATTCCCAGAAACAGACCATTGTTTTGGGAACTTTTTTGTTTTTGGGGATCCCATTATAACTACTAACCACAGCATCCTGTGTGTTGAATTGCATTCCAGATATAGCAGGGTTTTGTCTTTGGAGGGCGCCAATCATTTCCTCATCTCCCTCTCACCAGTATATGATCATGCCTTTATGGTTAGCAGACAGGAAATAGAAGATTGCACATGACTTTGTTCACAAGATGCATGCACATACATGTATACCAATATTGACAGCTGAGGAAACGGCCAATCTTTATAGAATTACTGAAGGTGGGCCCATTTATCCTGACCACAGGTTTGCATTAACTGTTGATCCTACCACTTCCTGAGTATTGTTCGGAAGTGTTCCAAATCCTAGAAAATCCTTCAGCGAAAGTGCAGTCTCTCTGAAATTAAGTCATCAGGTTCATTGTGTTGCATGTGTATAAGTTGTCCCAGGAAACACATACATGCACCCTAGGGCCAAAGGTCGAATTGCAAGTGGTTGGAGGTTGTGCATCTGGGAATAGTTTCATGTGAGGGGGGCAATAGTCTTTAACCCCTGGAACAGCACAGTGTGTAGAGTATGTGGACCATGATCATAGCACAGTCTGTTGTCACTGGTTAACCATTTGTGATCAAAGACATTGTAGCGTTTTCTGCACAGTTACTTGAATTATTTTGCATTTATTTCTTTTAGTGAATTTAGCATTCGAAATCTTCATTTTAACTACCTCCTGTTTCTAACTGTATATAAGTCCTGCATCACTGCACAGCTCCTCAGTATCCAGTATTCAGTATTAGTGTAGTAGTCTGCTTTTCAATTCTCCAATTCAGTCGACAGTCAGCTTACAATTCTATCGCAACCTTCTCGGTCGTTCTTTTGAATAAAGTTGGTAACAATACTGAATCCGTACTGCCTCTCGTGACGACCCTATAACATGCATTCCAGGTTGCTTGAAGATAATCTAGATAGCTGAAGAAGCTGACTATTTTAAAGTACACCAAACCCCAGTGTTGGGTTTTGTATTTTCCACCAACCTTGTGCAATGAGAAGTGCTCATGCGCAGAGTGGTACATGTTTATGAAATATGTATGATGGTTGCAGAAAAATCTGATATTTTTGTCTTAATTGGAATGAAATTTTCCAAATGTTGTAAGAACCAGTAACTATGAATTCAAGCTCTGAAGGGTATGGAACAAAATCTGTCCAAAGGCAGTTGGGAGAAACATACACGTAGAACGAATGTGGATAGTCATCTCTAAAGGTTTACATGTAGGTTGGCAGTGTTTTTTATTGTCCATGTTTGGCACCTGTTCAAATACCGGTAAGTTTGGGAAATTGCCAGAACATGTTGTATGTCCAGGAAAAACGGATTGTGTACCTGATCTTTGGACAAAAATGACCCAGAAAATGCGAGGTCAGCTCCAAAGTTTAGACCAGAATTTAGAACAGTCATCCTGTTCTGCTTGCACGGTCGTGCATACTGTACTTGTACACTAAAGCCGAAATACCTGCATTAGTACATGCAATACATGCAGTTGGGATCCAAGCCGTGCTTTGAAGTTGGTTACTTTGACGAAAAAAGTAATGTCTTGTTTGCTTCTTTGTTTTTATTCCAGATAACAGCGACTTAATTGCTTGCACTGTCCTCATGAAAGATAAAAGGTGAGGGAATATTGAATGCTAAGAACCCCGAGTACTTGTTCCCTACGCATTTTGTGAACCACAGTTTCAAAGCAAAACCATGATCCCTTTTTAGAATCACATTTGTGAAACAGTGTTTACGTCTGTAAAAGAGATCATGTACATGTACAGTTACGGCCAGAGTAAAGGTTCACACAATACACGATATAGCGTGTGTGCGTGTATAGGGAGTGGAAGACACGCTCTTTATAATGTGTTTGCAAGAATCCAATACACGCAGTTGTGGTTAGCCTGGGTAGCTATAGACCGCTAAGCCCCAACCAATCCGAGCCGATTAAAGTCAACCGCAATCCCCGTGTGCGTCGCCGAAGACGATACACGAATAAGCAGTTGGCAAACTGATGTCAAATTCACATATTTATCAGCTCATACATATTCAGCGCGATGCACGAAGAAATGTGCAGTGCCTCACAGACAATATTTCGGTGTCCTGTGTGAGAAGAAAACTGTCCGTGATCGAAACAAAGATTCAACAACTCCCAACGGAAAGGATTGTCAGTAGCAGCCCAGCGGCTGGATGAACCCCCACACATTTATTTCAATTATTATTTGACAGGTAAAATTTAACAAAACTATTTCCGTTGAAGTAGTCACTTCACGAAAACAAATCTGACAGAATGTTTCCGTAAAATATAAATTTGTACGAGAAAAAGAATGTACCCAATACCAAATATGATTTTGCACTAATTATTATGTATAATATAATTATATATAAAATAATTATATTTCCTAGCTGCAAGATCATGCAAACAGATTTTTGGCAGAAAGCAAAGCTGTAATTTCTTTGAAGTTATGGAAACCGTGTCATGCCCGGCGGATTTAATGCAACACAGGGAGTTGGTTATCGTCACTGAAATCATGCAACAATTTTTTTTTTATTGGACGGGTGACCCACCACCAGATCGACCCCGTGGCTTCGATCGCCGAAAAATACTTTTTTTATGCTGCCGACCCTGTCTTCAATTTCCTTAATTTTAAAAAATACGATGACATTCTAAATTGTGTGAACAAGGACGTAATTTTTCACCAAAAGTGTTTCTTCCCCAACTGATCTAACCGAGCGATACACGACCAAGCAGTCGGCAAACTGGTGTCAAATTCACTTATTTATCAGCCCATATTCAGCGTGATCCAGGAAAACACACACAGCCTAAAAGAAAGTGTTTGTGTGTCCTGTGTGAGACAACTCCCAATCAACAGGATCGCGAGTAGCGGCCCAGCGGCCAGATAACCCCCCCACACATTTTGACACGGCTATTCACGTTGGAAGTGCCACTTCACGGAAAGCTGACAGAATGCTTCTGTGAAATATGAACTTGTATGAAAGAAATTCCAGTCCAAACTACATATCTGTAAATGCAAACATCCTCAAGTGGAGTTATACCAACAAATTTTTGGTGGACATAATGCAACACGTATTTTGATTGGCCAATGTCAATATCAGTGTGAACAAATTTATCCACTGGAGATAGAGGACCGGCCGACAACCCTCTGGCCTACGTCGAGTAAAAATTCAGTGCTTCCTTGAAATTCCTTGGAGAAATGATAAACTGCAGATTTCTGGGGACAAGGAAGCAATTGTTCCCCATATTTTTCCCTGATTGACCTCACCAGACGCGAAATGCGAGGAAGCGATGTTGAATTCACTTTATTTATCAGCCCTGGTCCTGTGATCCAGCACGACTCACAAGAAAACCCAACAGAAAATATTTCGATGTCCCGTGCGAGAACACACAACTGCAAAATTATGAACTAGCAACCGCATATGTGGAAAAGGATTGTTTTTAGTCCCCAGATCCCACAAAGTCCCAAACATTTGAGAAAAGTGGATAAAAATTCCTGGCAATAAACTTTTACGAAAAATATATCTAATCTTAAAATACACGTTTACCAACAATGCAAACATGAAAAATATACACAGATTTTCATGCATATGCGCTGCAAACCTTGTCACTACTAGATTGGGTTTTGTTGCAGGATCTGGCCGAGTCTTCTGGATAACTGTTTTCGCAAACAAGTGGCTTTGCCTGGTTTCTGCCACGTAGTTTTAAGGTTCTCCGGCAAATTTCATGGTAATTGTAAACCTACTGTCTTGCTTCAATACACGAAAAAGTTTTTTTTTTTTTTTTACATTTACACATTTAATAGAGTGTTCAAAATTCCATCTGCCTTTCTTCTCGCAGGGAAAACTGTTCACTAAATTCCTTACAATCCTGATGGGGCAAGGGAATCAAGAGTACGAGCGGGTAACATGGTTACGTTTGTGGAATTGAGCCCCTGCTAGTACGCTGTAAATGACTTGAGAAACTTCCATGTTGTGGGTATTGAAAGAATTTATAAAAGATACCAGGTTCATACATTCATTGATTCACTTTTTAAATTTCCAGTGATGAAAAGATATCAGAATTCATGTATTTATCGAGGGTGAGAAACATTCAAAATAATGTTTTGGCCTTCAAACCTGTCTCATTGTAACAAGCACCTTTCCCCTAATGATCCAGAGCCTATCACATTTGGGGTTTTTACTTGTCGCCTGTTTATTCCCACTTGACACAGCCAAGTGTCCTTTCGCGAATCACTCTTGGAAGTTTAGAGTTAAGCTTAGCATTTACTGTGGTAAATAAGAGCTGCACCATTTTTATGAAAGAACTGTTTGTATGCTCGAAATCAGTAATTTAGGCTAAAGGTCAATTGTAACTTTTTAAGGTGCGGTTTTAAAAGATGTGGCAATAATGCTGTCCTGTCTCTGACTTACCTTTTTTCATTTAGGATTAAAAACCCTTGAACCCTTGTCTTCCTGTGACATCGATGTTCAATACAAATGCTGGAGAACTGGATGAAACTGCTAGCCCTAGCTTTGGCTTTTATTTGGCAAAAATGCTTGTTCAATTTTAATGAGTAATTTAAGAGGGAAAAATATTGCACCCATTTTCAGAAGCCTTTTGTCACAACAAAATCTTGAACATACCTTCAATGCTTTACAAAACTTCGTCGAATAAGTAACTTTTGCAAAAAAAAAGTACATACAAGTCAATAACACAAAATTTCTGAAGAAATTTGTAATGAGATAAAAATCTGATGGCCATAAAATGATGAACCATTTTCTGAAAATAAAGCAAATACGCCTAGGCTGAAACTCACTGAATACATTCACATGTCTCCACGTACGTGCAACATGGTCGGAAAATAGTGTTTCTAGCTGATCAAAATAAATTTTTATCGTCACCGCCCACGTCGACCCCTTTCCCCCATCCCTGATTTTTCTTCTTATTTCATATTTTTATTTAAAAGACATCAATCCCACCATTTTTCATCTACCTGTCGTTAACCTTGTTTCAATAAACTTACTCAAGTAAAAGTAATGCCACACAACAGCTTTTGTTCTCTTTTCCATAACAGAAAAATTCAGAAATTACAGACAATTCCATTTTAAGTGTTTCTTGACTCTGATCCTGTATTGTTTTGTCTATGAACTGCCCTGCGCCTCGGCAATCACCAAGGCTGGTTTTTTCCTCATTAGCCAGCTTGTCACCTAAATGGAAAAAAAGATGAACGGATTTGTAAAGAATTGCACATGCTAATTAAACTGATTTCAAAAAATGAGCTTGACACATGCATACAAAAAAAAATCAATTTATCAACTTACCAGAACTATTGCCCAAGTTTCTTACATGTAGGCCTTGATGAAAGCTGAAAATAGTCTGAATTAAAATGCATGGAAGTGATAAAAAAGGTTGTTACTGAAAATCATGTTGAAAATAGTAAAAATCTGTTATCAAATGAAAAGCAGTATTTTTCCCACCATGACCATGACTGAAAAGGCCCGTTTTTCCAAACTTTCCAAAATACATTTCCATTTATGGGCAGCGTATGTACTGTAGATGACAATTCACCTGGGAGTCACACGGACGATCGCTCATTGATGTTGTAGTCCAGAGCCACATGTCACTTTGCAAAGGCTTTGTAGAAAGGATATAGCTTGATAGCTATTATGTCCCAAAATCGGCCCGAGTATACCCAGTACAGTATTCAAAAAAGTGGGATCGCCGCTGCGCAGTAAAAAATTGTTTACCACACACCGCCATGATGAATTGCCACAGATAAAATGTACTCTAGTTCACCTGGTTTCCCACATTTGTGATTTGAGGATTAAATTGGTAAATATGCAGTGGTGTATTGAAGTCATAATTCAAACTGAGTTGATATTAAATCTGTGTTTTTTCTTCAGAAAGAGATAAGTTTTGAATATTTTATTTCAGATAATGGACAAAACGCAAGGACTTAAACATGTTACATGTAAGTTGTTCCCACTGCGCCTGATTAGCCATCTATACACTCTGTCTCGGTACCGGGTACCAATCAATAATGGCATCATGCGGACCAATGCAGTGTCAAACAAAACTACGTTTTTTTTTTGCAGACTACATTCCCTGGAAATTCTTTTCAGATAGTTGTTTATGAGAAGACTCCATAATGGTGAAACCTGTTCTTCCATTTTTATGCTAGGCCCTAGACTACACCCGTCACAAAAGACAGTGAAAATCCAGCGTTTTTTCAGTTGGAAACGTGATGCATTGGCTTTTGGTGAGGGTGCCCAGGGAAATTTGGACTGAGGCGTTTCCTGACCATTTTCCTCAGGCTCTGATTTAACTTTATGGGAGGTGCATTTGGCCATCAGATATGTTTTTAATTCTTTTTTTAATTTATTTTTTGAGGCGAATATACATATAGTACCGGTGAAAAGCCAGGACGCCTCATGGATTAGCATTTATCCAGAGGGAAAGGAAACTCGTATTTAAGCCAAAGCTGGCTGCCCGTGCGACGAAGTGAATGAATATCGAATCAAATGGCTTTTAGTTAAAACTAGCACTTTAATTTATCCTAAAGACTGATATTCTGGCCTCGTTAATGTTTGCAGTATGTATCGCCTACCCAGCTACACGTGCATAATCAATTTTATGTGACGTCAGGGCTATGCGGGTGCGTAATTGGTCAATCGGAGGTACGGTGGTAGTCTGTCCATGCCTGTTCCATGTGGCTTGTTCTTACAATGTACCACTGATTCAGATGAAGGTCCGTGTTCATAGTTAAGCCATCGTACATAATATTTGTGAATTTTTCAAAAACATACACGCAATTGAGTTTCGTTTTAGAGTCTATAAAATTTTGTAACATGACCAAACTTAAATGCCTTGCCTGAAAATCTGCTTTTGTTGGGTGGTTCTGACTGATAGGATTTCTCACTTTCTAGCTTGATATTTTTTTTTGTCCGAACTTGCTGATCCAGATAATTATAAACCGATCCAGAAAATGGCAGCGGCGCTTTCGACAATCCAGTATATCTCAAATTGAAAGCTTTAAATTTGAAAAAAAAGTATCTCCTTCACACAGGGTGGGCGATTAAGTTGTGGATTGTCCGTTTGCAGTCGGACTGAATGAGTTTTGCGATCCAAAACTACCAAAATTTGTTTCGTTTTTCATGGTACGTACTGTTTTTTGTACGTTGCATCCAGATCTAGAGACGGTACTGCATAATTCCCAATATTAATGCTGACATACTCCTTGTGTTTCTTCCAACATACACATGTAGTGCAATAATCTTCATACTTCGGAAACTTAAAACTGCAGAATGGGGGGAAATCCGGTGGATAAAATCGAGGCGGTGAAAATTGTAGCGGAACGGCAAAGGCATACAATTTTCGGCAGGGCGTCCCGCAGCGAGCCCTGCAAAAAAAATACTCCAGGTGCCACAAGCATATTTTTTCTTACCTTGACTAACATTTTCTTGAAAAGAATGTTAATGCGTGATTTTCCTATCTCCGTGTTAGTTGGTTCGATCTAACTGAAGAAACGGATGCCCCGTTGGATTAGTTTTGTCATTTTTCATGTACAGAGATGTACTGTACGTTGATCCGTCAGGAAAGTGGCATCAGTATTCCTGATGATCCCGAACAATCCAGATCATTTCTGGGTGGCAGAGATATCTATTTCACAAATGGTGGACTGTTAATCCTATTTCGTGAGATTTCGTGCATCAGTTGTGCCGAATCAAATCAAGCCGGCACTCTCCGTGAACAGACTGCTTTGGTAGTGACAGTATTATCTGCACCGTGGGTGCACCGATCGATATCGAAAGCATTATTTTACGCTCATTATTGCATGTAGGACAACTCGGTGGTTCGTTGTGCATCATGATCGGATTTCTGAACATCGAGATCGCGAATTTAATAGGGGTTTAACACGTACGCCACGATTTTAAAGACATGCCAACATGCATTTAATGGTGGTGAGCTGAATGCAGTGCCTGTGTGCGAGCATGCAGCATTTCCCTTCTTCACATTCACAGGTCAGTGACACCACTTACGGCATTGCGGGTGCGGTTTACACGTTTCACATTTCCGCTGTCGGGCCAACCCTTTTTAGTGCGTGTATTGAGGACACCTTGCATGATATTTCGGGAACATGTATTGTGCTAACGTGTGTGTGATCAATGTATCGTGTCATCGCGTGAACCTTTACTCTAGCCTCAACTGTACAGTGTACAATGTACACTGTTCTTCTTTATACATTCTTGTTTATACATGTACCAAGCAATGGAGCAAATGAACATCTGAGTTTAGAAACTCAAGTCGATTTATTTATTTTTTTTATCCTGGATGATTCTGCAGTGTGACTTCACTGGAGTGCAGTGCCCCAGCTGGGTGGTACAGTACATATATTTTAACTTGCCAGTATGCCACTGTGTATAGGTCCATGCCGTGCAGTATTTCACAAATCAAACACTTTGCATACTCCACAGTTTTCACTGTAAAATGTTCCACTTATACTGCTTTCTAGTGGCATTTTATATGATTCCATACTTTGTGTTGAAACCGAACACTCCCAAGATGTGTGGACTCGTTACTGTCCTTCATCCTCATTCTCACCATTCTTATAATTTTTTGCCTTTCCTGGTCCCATCAGTCCGCAGAGGGTCCGAAGATTCTTGGTGATTGACAACCACCAACTGATTCTGGTGGAGCCAGACAGCAAGAAGCTTGGATGGGGTGTGGCCAGATTTGTGGGGCCGCTTCAGGTAAGGAATCCACTACAGAGACAGGTTTACACTTTGTGCGTAAGCAGAAGAGTGTGGTGAGTCACCTGGTGCCAAGAGCTCAAATTGGGCTGCCATCTGGTCTCTCTCTATCACATTCACTGTGACTTTTGGACAGAGGGAGAGCAGGAACCAGGGGCCAATTTCATAGTCCTGTGAAAAGCAAAAATCTGCTCTGCTAAGGAGGTACTCAGCACATGCAGTTTACCAGCCAAAACAGAGTGGAAGAGTATTGCGCGTTTACCTGGTTGGTTTTTGCTTTTAGTGACTGAACTTGCTAATAATGTTTTCTACTTAGCAACTCTAAAATTGGGCATTTTCACCTCTGGGCGATGCTTGCTTGAATCCATAAGACATCTTTAAACTTATTTCACTGTGAGCTGGACTTTCTACTTTTGCCTGCCAGTAGCTGGTAAAACTGTGGCTCACAGTCACCGAAAGAATAATTATTTACATGTTGAATTTACATGTTTACATCATAACACCAAATAATAAAGGGTTCTTCCAAGAAATAATTGAAAATACCCAGTAGGATCATCTTTAAAAGTACATGTACAGTAATGGGGCAAATGTACAGTGAATGTGAAGTCTGACACCAACCAGGGGGTGATGATTTCTACAAACTTTAGCTGCCCATAGTGTGCGAGTCCCACAAAAACTTTTTAAAACATACTGTAAAATCTTACCATCAAATGTTAAACCAAGTTCCTGTTGTCATGCGGATGACCAGTATTAATTTTCTTCTTTTTTTGTAAATGATTGATCAAATGTTATCAGTGTCACCTTTGGTCTGACGTAGTAGTCTGGTCCCCTCTTGCAACATGCAGACCATAAAAAAAGCAAGTGCCTTGAAAGGATGCCAGCCTGTGCAGTCTCTGGCTGTGGCTGGTATCTTCATTTAGGGGAAAGTTCAATTAAGCACCACTAGTTAACTAGTGGTCGGTTCATGACGTAGGCCTACCTAGTGCATGTGCAGTGAAGTTGAAGTGTGAACGATCCTCGTCAACCTTTGTCCGGTCATTAGGCCGAAGAGGAGAAAAGGTGGCTGCAGGAAGGGCAAAATAGCAAAAACAAAGGTGAAAATGGTTGTTTACATTCTGATTTTCCAGCATTTTTCTTATAACTGGTCCTCTCTGCACTGTGCTCCTAAAAATGGTTAATAGGAACCGAAGATGCGACCAACCTTGATAGGCTGGTCGTGAATTGTTGACTAGACTAGTCCAACTCTCGTCAACTAGCGTGCTTTTTATCAGAGTTAGTCAAACTATGGTTAACTATGGTCCTTGGTCGAACTTGCCCTAGGGAAATAAAAGTAGACATCTAGATTCACGTTGCAGATATGGTGTCCTATTATATATGTTTCACATTGCTCCGCCCATTTTATGCACTGTTATGTTTGCTGCCAGTAATTAAGTTCCCATGTGGAGTTGGAGGGGGAGAAGTATTATTGCCATCTCAGTCAGTGTTTCTTGGAAAGTAGGTTATCAGAGATTTAAGGTTCTCATGCGATCTGATGATGGAAAGCATTCCCAAACGTCGTCTTCGTGTTGTTTGCACACTAGAGTTCCTCCTTTGGAAAACCACAGTGACTTTTTTTTTGTCAATCGTATGTGGTCAAACAAGCTCGAACCGTGCTTGGAGTTTCCGAGCAGTCACATAATTGATCTGGGACAAATCTGCAAAAGCCAAAAAAAAAAAAAAAAGAGGGAAGGGATTAAGCCAGATCTGATGTGGGTGGAGGCCAACATTTTTCAAATCGCTTTTACCGCAGACTTTTTTTTTTTTTAATGACCATTTGCAGCTGGTGCCGAAGCACATTAAACCACAAAATTCTATCTGAACTGTTGTTGCCTGTCAAAATGGAAAAATCCTGAAAAGTGGTTTTGCTTGGCTGAACTTTCGACCCCGCGCCCTTTGAGTGCACCCTCGTTGGGCCTTGTGATTCTCACGAATTGTCAACCACTCAGTGTGCCCATCACTGTGTGATTAAAACCACAAAGACGTAGGCTGGTGATGTTTTTTGTTTGTGCTATCCATCTTCAAAAAAAGAGAATAAAAATACACGCAACACCTGGCATTCCCTTTTTCTAGGAAAGATAGAAGCCACCCACATAAGCAGATTAATGCCCGAAGACAGGAGGGCTGCTGTGTTTCCCCAGGAAATCAAACAAAACATTTACAGCTTTGGCACTGCCTGTGAACATATCTAGGCTTTGTACTATTAGGCTCTCTCTTGTGCAGGAATCAAATTTACGTTGTTTCCATTTGAGTTTGATGACCAGAAGAGAAAAGGAGATGCAGGGCCACTGCAAGGCCAAAATGAGACAACCGAAAAAAAAAAAAAAACTGGGCAGGAAGAGAAGAAAGAAGGGGGTAGAATGGGGAAGGGAAACTGAACAAAAACAACACGCCAAGGAGAGCGCTGTGGTGCGATGAAGCAAATAGCGTGGATTGCAGAGAGCAGTAGTAGATCATGTGGGTGTGGGTTGTTGACCATCATTTCTTTTTTGTGGTTTCGCTGTCTTGGCCAGCTTTAATGCCAACTTGATTGCGTAGCTTTGGGTGTGTTTGTGGGGATTGTGTGTGTGGCTTAGGATTATGGGGGAGTGGAATCATCCAAAAATTACTGGCATTTCAAACACAAATTTGGTCTGGCAACGTGTCTGTATTTTGTCTGAAGTAATAATCACACAAAAAAGAAGCCCTACATTCACTCCCAAATTTTGTTGCTTTGTTTCTTGTGATTCTGTCAATCGGTTTTTCTTTCAAAAAGGGCAGAAGGTCTCACTGCAGAAAACAGGCTTTTATAACCAGCAGGTTCACCCAGATTAAAAAAACAAATTCTCAATCTCAATCTCTTTTCGGCTGGCTTCAAGCAGTTTGAAAAATTTCCTTGGATGAAATGGAAGCCATAATGCCAAGCGACCAAAATTTGACAGCAGGAAACAAATCCAAAGAAGGAGTAGTCCTTGCCTCAGCCATTCTCTGAACTGCAGTAGTTTGATTTATCTTGTACATCTGACTTATTTTTGTCCAGTGAAGTTCAGAAATGTTACGGGGAAACATGATTAGTATTTACTGCCACTGTTTCTTCTGTCTGCATGTACATGTCTGGTTTTGAGAATCTCCTTGGACCAATACAAGTGCATTACTTGCCGTTGGGTATCACTTCCAAAATTTTTCATCACAGTTGCACTGAGGATCATTACACATCACATTTAAAATTTACAGTAGCTAACCTTTGACTTACCCCCAAAACTTACCTATTCCCCCTCTGAATGCGATTATCTGATCAGTTTGCAATCGATCACAAAGTCGGCGAACAGTTGCTCGTGACTGAAGGCCATGAAATGTGTGCCGGGAAGTAATCCGCGCTGAAACTGGGGCATACCGAACTTTCACGTGACACTTGTTTCCGATTTCGGTTTTAACAGGCTTCACTGGAGAAGTGCAGTGGGGGTCGTCCCCTCGGCTCTCAAGTGACATTACAGATCACGTTACATAGTTTCATATGGTTTCTCACTTTAGGCTCGTGCTCAGGTTGAAGTCTGTTCCACACTTTCATGTATTTGTGTACCAACCGTGTTCGTCTAATTCAGGTTGGGTGAACCTTGAGTGGTTAAAGCAAGGTCCAAGGAAAACAGTTTCAGAGGCATTGTTGGCTTAAAGTTATCCGTCACACAAGGAAAAAGGAACAGTCAGGCGAACCATCAAGCATGTTCATAGTGCAAGAATCCGAGTATTTTTCGCTGAGTTCCCTTAACCTCACTAAAACAAAGGAATGTACACACTACAGGTGGACATTAACGTACATGTAAACCTGTGTGATGGTTCAAAGTAGGATTTAGATGTCAATAAACTACTGACCAGTACAGAAACCACACACAAGACAATTGCAGCACTTTTTATACAAACACCAGCATTGCAATTGCATAGATTGGATTGAATTTAAGGATGATGCCTGCTTTGGCGCGCCCTCACACAGGAGAACAGAAAACACCAACAGCGGACATGCATCGCCAGTGTTACCCAAAGGGTTGAATTTTTTCTACTGACATTTCTGAAAGGTTTGCAAGTTAATACTCACTGGACCTGTACAGTCTTGGACTGCACGAGACCAACATAAAATTCAGTGCGCATGTTCCAGCATTCCAAGGGAAAATTTGAAGCCTGGGCTCAAAGTTTAACGCCATGATGGCATGAACATTATTTCAGACTCATCCGTCCATGTCCTTGTGCAGCACAAACATGGTGTTTGTCAGTTCTCTCAAAGCTAGGGGCGCATCCAATATGAAATTTTTTCCAATATCAGACATCATTCTCGAACCACTCTGCAATAATTCCTTGAGTAGAAAACAGAACGAATTTCAGTTTCTCATTGTACATGTTCCTGTACATCCGCCATGGAAGGAGTCACCCTTCCTGTGTGCATGCTATTGCATGTTGGAAGAGACACCAGGAATTACCGTATTGTACAACTTTATATGTATATCGACAACATGCATTTTGTACACAGGCTCTTGTAAGGGCGGATCTAATATCTTTCCGGGGGGGGGGGATTTTGTTTGGCCTAAAAGTTGTTGAACTTTTTTCTATCAACCTTTTCTTGCCTTCAGAGGGGTGGAGCTACATGTTGAAGTCTTTTTTACAAGTTTCTGAAAGGAAGGATAATGAAATGACTCCAAAGTGCCTCTGTGTCATTCCCTCTCCCCCCACACAAAAATTGGTTCTTTTGTGGGGGCGGGGGTGGGGGAGATGTCCCCATTGTCCCCCTGAATACCCTCATGGATAGGTATCATTAGCAACTTTTGGTCAACTAACCACTGTGTTAATTATAATGGATACACTTATGCACAAGCTTAGCCTTTGAGAAAATCCATAAAGACTTCTATTGCACAAAAATGCATTTTTAAAGAGGATGTCTTTTGAGATTATCTCAAACTTGTTTGTCTTCGGATTCAACTTTTCTGACCCACCCTTTACTGTTAGACAGTTCTGCCTTGTTTGTCTGATGAAGATACTAAAAATAAAATCATTCTGTTACTGTTACTGATGTGGCCTGTTTGGCTCACAACAAAAAACTCAACATTGTAACTGCACGTTTATGGATTGGACGTCAAGGCCGATTGCTTAGTGAAACATCCTGTGCCTGAAATCATATCTCACAGTACACTGTTGGTCAGGCCAGGTATTTTTAAATCCAATAGGAAGCGAAACCAAACATTAACACTTTCATCTGCCGCTCCAGGAGAAGTTATTTGGTTGAACTGTTGGTGTCAGATTAACTCATCACAAAAATGAAGGTTAGGTAAAGCGTGTCACTGCCTGGCTGTGTGTGGCACATATTCATTAGCAATGTTTGCTGGGTGTTTTTGATTCATGTTTTGAAGCTCATGCTGGAATTTGGCCCAAAAAACAAAAAAAATCACATAGAAACAAAAAAAAAACCTAACAAACAAAATCAAAAATAAAAGAAAACAAAAATCAAATCAAACAAAAATCCCTGGACATTACAAAGGTCGGAGTGGTTAGTTTTTTTAAAGTGAACAGACAATTTCTGCTATTTTACAACTACATGTACATGCAATGGTTCTGCTCAAGTCAGAGTAAGGAAGTTGTAATTTTCTTAGGAACCATGAACTACGGCAGTGAGCGAAAGCTTAAAAATCTAACAATAGGTCCAACAATCCTCAAGGAAGACTAGTTTCAAATTCTGGCTGAGAACTGGAATAAAATTCCATCTCTCCTACCTCATCACATAGTTGCTTCCATGGTGGGGTTACGCTGTTACAAGCATGAGGGAATTACTGGATATAAAATGATTTTGTGTCCCTTGTGTCTGTTTTTTATAGATTGTTTGGCCAAAAATATTCAAAGGCTTCTCACTTTCCCCAGTAAGAGTGTTCGTGTACATATTGACCTTACCTTTTAAATTTACCACTCAGTGATCCCAATCGGCTGTCCTGGCAACTGCTGTCATGGCAGCTGCTGTCCTGACTGGTGATTACAGTCAAGTGCATTGTCTGGGGACATAAGTACCAGGTGTGATTATGTACATGTACATGCTTTTCTGCCTTTACCAAGTCAAGAGTGTTGCATGCTGTTGTTAGTACATGTAGGTCTTCAAGAATTATTTTGTTACGTTTTCCTTTCCTGTCATTTGAAAACTGGCTTTCATTCAGAAAGACGTTTATTATAAGAGAATGACCACAGTAACCACAAGTATTCAAGCAAAGAAATGCGAAATGACCACGAAACAGGTTGTAGTTAAGAGATAAAAGTGAATGGCATGAATTTAAACAAGTGCTTTTAGTAAAGAAAAATACTCAAGAAGGACTTGCTTCTTTATCCATCCCGAGTGGAACAAAAGAGGGCATATATTTTTTTTTTTTTTTTGGTACTCACCACATATGCATGCCATAAGGCGCGCAGGTATATGCACGTTTGATGCGGGGCACGCTGTGTACACGTAACTAATTTACTCCGGCATGTATGGTCTTTGTGTGCACACAGAGCAAGTGCAAGAACCCACTTGTAACCACCTGTATTTCTTTTGCCGATTGGGGGTGCACTTAAGCTCGGGGCGGATTGTTGTACAAACTTTGCCTGAAGACAAGTGGACCGAAAAAGTTCGCATTTGATTATGCATCAGTTATCAAAAAGGGGAATGATTAATTGATTGAAAAAACAATTGAAGACTGACAGGCGTCATTATTAAGTGTACTCAACACATTGGTTGCAGCTGCTCAGGTATTTCTTGTTGAGCAGTGAATGGTGTGAATTGATGGTACACCAGCATGACACCTCAATGCCACACAAGTGCAGATTTGAGTGAAGATAGTGTTCAAGTACAATTTGGGTCACCATAAAGATGCCTCTTAACATGTCATTTTCACCTTAAGGACTTGGAGGTGACCGGGGACAAAGACGACAGCCGCTCACTGCATGTCACCATTCACAAGAGGATGACCACCTCCCCCCATGCTAAGCCCATCCCCTTACTGGCCGCCAGATTCCAGTTTGACGATCACATACGCTGCATGGCAGCCAAGCAGCGCCTCACCAAAGGTAAATCAAATTTCATGTGTCGTCCCACTGCTGGGTTATGGCCTCTCCCAAACCTTGCCAAGTGGCTCGGTTCTGTATACATCTTTACTGGGCTTTTGATCCCACCTGGCTGACTAGCTCATCTCTTCCCAACGATACTGATAGAACAGCAGTAACAAGCAGAACCAAGACATTGAAATAACTTCATCTGCAGTGGCAGCAACAACTGTAACATCAACTATGATAAACGTACCAAAAATTTGATTAACTACCGTTATGATAATTATCATGCAATACAGCTGCGGGCAACACCTCCATATATTGGTGCACAAATTTCAGCTTGATTGGTAGCATCCAAGTTTAACCTAAGGAGACACCAGTTTTATAGGGGGTTCATATTTCATTAAGGAAAACTGTATCATGATTCCCTCTATATTATCTCTAAGAAACGAAACTCTGTTCCACCAAACAGTTAAATCGGTGTATTGAACCAAATTACTGCTTGTGAATTCTGAATAATGCCTTATTATAACATCAAAGGTACATGTGTTGTGGTTGAGCTGTCGCAAGCTGGTCACATGTTGTCCTGGCTTAAATTGCACACTAGCCAAATGAACTGTGCGTTGTTTTGGGACTGTTCCTCCTTGTTTCTTGAGACTAAACTTGTGATTGATCCTTGATTTAACGTTTTATTAATGCAACTTCAGCGCTGCACCACCAGTGCCTATGAAGACAAGGGATAACTCCAGTTTTGTTGAAGTGGGGAAAGGGAATTGGGCTGTTTGAAGTTGTGCACATTTGGCATTGGTTGCAGAGGGTCACAAACCATCCTCTGAGAAAAGATCATGGACTGAATTTACACATGTAGTTCCAGTCTTGTAATTGAGTCCCTCATGAGGTCCCTGTGAGTCCACGACAAACCATCCAATCATAAGCCGGGTCATGAGCTATTCAAAGGAACCGTGATGGGCATTGCTTAGTTATAGTCCATCCTGTTCCCCTTGACTGGTTCTTGTGAAAGGACTTGCCTCTAGACTTGTGGAAGGACTCAGTGTTTGTCCAAGAGCTAGCAAAAAAGTCAAACCCACAAAGCAGGAGGTCATACATGTAGGGACGAATCCCACCCAAGTAAGCTTGTAAATTTGTTCGCAAGCTCTCTGACAAACACAGAGCATATGGTGTTATGAAATATACATTGGTGTATTAAAAGGGCAAATCCGTTGCTGAAATTTAACATCTCCCAACAACAAATACATCTTGAAATTATGAAAGTACTGTTGATGGACTGGACTACCATATATGTACTGCTAAGACCCCTTCCTCATCTGTTGATCTCTTCTCTGGGCAGGTCGGCAGCGAGTTCGTCAGGCCAAGACTGCGGACATCGCTGCGCTCCTGGAGATCCCTCCTCCGGCCTCCCCAACAGCAGCTGGCCCACCCTACCCTGGCCTTGGCTCTGCCCATCCGGGGAGTGCCAGACCAGTCTCTCAGCAAGCAGGACGGGGGTTCACGGTCGGCGACGGCTCGTCCGCTGTACAAAGGTAAGGCAGTTGAAGAAAGTGGTCATTACTTCCTGCATGGAGGTGGGGGAATGTGACCTTATGGCTAGTGTTCGCGAACTCAGGATCAGAGGTCCAGGGTTCAAATCCAGCCACTGGCCATAAGTTGTGGCTTTGGGCAAGCTACTCCACCTCTAAGCAGTTTTAAACCATCACAGGTAATCAGCAGCTCTTGTGCAAAATGGTTACGTGCTTGCCTTTGAAAATGTATGAATTAACCCAACAGATACTGTGATATGTGTATGATTTAAGTCTAAGATGCCTCTAAAACTTTAATCAAAACACTGTGGGATTTTATTTTGTAAAATAGAACTGGAGGCCAGATGGGACAAAAAGGTTGAATTGTAAAGTTCTATTGAATTGTTGAGAAAAAAATCTTATAAAACAATTTGTAACGTTTGTGCTTATAGGCCTGTAAACATCAACTCTGTGAGTTGACTGTAAGGTGGCATTGGCCATATGAAAATTAGTGCCCCCTGCCATGATTGTGGCTATGTGCATTGTATATGAGCGAGGTGTTGAGGTACATGTAAAGGTGGGTCTGATTGTGGCTTTTTCCTTCCATTTCCCTATCACCCTTTTTGTTCATGATGAGTAACGTTCACGTGCTTCGCCTCAAATGCGAGATGAGTCTTCGTGGTTAGACAAATGTTACCGGTCTGATGACTTGTCCTCTGGTGAATCTGAGTAGACCTGCGGTTTGGGGGATTCACAACCAGCGGAGAGTCTCTCTTACTGTCATTGAGCAGGCCGCAAGACAGCCAATCTCCCCTGTCATCTCAGCTCCAAACTGGAGTTTGGCTCTGAAGGCAAACGCCGCCCACTGTGCGGTGTGCCTTTTCCTAGAAAGAATGGATTTGGCATATGTTGGAAATGTTTCAGCTGGTCCACCACCAAGTACTGGTTGCTGTGTATTGTTCATGCCAAGAGTTAAACTTTATGGTGACACTCCCTATGAATATACCTTTATTTTTTAATTCCTTCGTGATGGAAAAACAAATCTGTGTGTTGGCTGATTCACAGTTTAAAATATACACTTATGTACTCTGCAGAAGTGCATTCGTAATTTCAAAAACAGAAAATGAATAAAAAAGCAGAAAGAAATCTCCATTGAAACTCGCCACACACTTGCAGTCAACATCAGTGGCTCTTTATTAAATTTTCTGTTGCCAAGTTTAACGACAAGACCAATTTCTGAACTCTCTTCCCACACCCGAGTTCCCTGAAGGCTTTTAAACTCAGGATGTAAATGTACATGTGTGCAGCATGAGTCTATTCAAAGAGAGCAGTACATGTACATGTATGTATGTCAAGCGTGGCATACATACTGTTTACCTCTGCACAAAAGAAGTCCACATAATGTAGGGTATGATGGCATTGTGTGGACTCGCACACGTCCCCAGAAAATCATCATCAAAAATCCAGCTCGAAGGAGTTCTCCTTGTTGGAGAAAAAGGAGCATTTTCCATAAGTTAATTTTGAAGACTTTAGGCCTACTAGTAGGGCAAGCACTAGGTCTGACCAATCAGAACATATCAACCCTACTACTAATACCAATATTGAAGAGTTTGTCAATTTCTGCATTTTATTCTTTTTCCAGTAGATGATCAGTCTGCACATCCATTATTTTCACAAACCTGCCAATGGACCATTCAAGTAGATTTGATTTGTTCTGATTGGTCAGACATAGTGCCTAGTAGGCCTAAAGTCTTCAAAATTGTGAATAAACACCATCAGTCCAGTGTGTATAAATTTTCTACCACAGTTGCACATGTGGCTTGAAATGAAGGCAAGAGACAGACCTGTAGTATTGTATCTCAACCCTCTCCCCTCTAAAGAAAAAAGCAAAAAGGGGAGGAAATATGCTTCCATTGAGAATCCCCCCCCCCCCGATTCTGTTTGCTGGAACAGATGAGCCTAATTTAAGCAAATGCAGTAATAGATACATCCACCGGTAGCTTGTTTATGATTTGGTTTTTTTTTTTATTTTCACGAGCGCAGCTGCATTCGGCATGTCATTAAGATACATTGGGAAATGAATGTTTCCAACATTCACAAAGGGAGAGTCAACAACCAGCGCAATGCCATATACACAAAAGTCTTCTGCTTAAATTTGTTGAAAGATAGAGAGAACTTGTCAAACCTTCTACTAATAAAAGTTTTATAAAAGAAACCCCGCATCTGTACTTGTCATCGAGAAGAAGCTGACCAATTGAAATGTAGATAATCTACGTCTCCGGGTTTGTTTTTTTTGTCTTCTCCGAAACATGGAAACTTGTGGGCACTGCGTCTGAATTTAGGTATGAGTTACTTTGTCAGTGACTGTGAACAAAATTACTGTCACTTATAGGGCCATTATTCGGAATGTCTGATATTTTTCTCCCTCTTGTGGTGATTTTTCTGTTGTGTTGTGTTGTAAAGTGAATTATTCTGTGTGTGGGTGGAATCTTTCGGGATTCAGGAAGAGGGAAAAAACACATTGATGCTTAATTCCAAATTCCAATTGCTTATCCTATAAGTCACATACAAACTGTACATGTACATGTATGTCTTGTGTGTTTTTATTAAGGGAAAAAAAGCAAATTTCAGTGTTTCACGACCAGATCTGTCATGTTGGGGTGGCAGCAAGCTTCGAAAAACAACGTACGCAATGCCGGTTGCCATCACGTCACTGGTTTCTCAGCCAATCGGCATCCCCAATTCTTTTGTGCATTGGCCATTGACATTTACAGTACACATGGCAGTAGTGTGGCCAACTGACTTTTGCAATATTTTCCGAGAATTCTGTCTGGCTTGTCTAGAATTGTTTGCCAGAAATGTCGCATCCTGTTAAAATTTTTTCTTTTCCTTTCAATTCCTCGGCTCCTCTAATTTGTCTTTTTTTTTTTAATCTTTTTCATTCACCTCTTGCAAATACTCGGTCAGATTATCAGATTGAAAGTTACAAAAAAAAGAGACCTTCATGTTGAGATCATCCGTTTGCATAATTTTTGAACCATACTTAATATTTCGTAAACGTAATGTTTCTTGAGGAGTTTGACAGTTTGATTTGATGATTTCAGTGAAAGATGTGATGATGCATAGTGTGCATGGTTGTGGATTTGTGGTGAAATGTGCTTACACACTACACCTGAAACATAACCATGTCACACTTTGTTTGATTTCCATGTGCGCTTTCCTAAGTGCACTCAGTGGATCACATTTCACCCGACTGCAGAGTGATGTCATTATGTTATACGGTGGGTTGTTTTAGTGTGGAAATCGTCAATTTTGTATGATATTAAAATCTTTACAAATCCTGAAAAATTTCTTAAGTCTTCTGCTTCCAACCTTCCATTTTGCTTACAGGTTCCTGTGTTAATTTGATCAACCGTAACGTATTGCAGTAGATGTATATTCCTTAACTTGGTATATTTGTCATGATTAAGTGTGTGTATTTATTGTTTCTGTGGTATTTTCTTTCCATGTGTGCACTTTACACAGGCTACATGTTGACTCTACGTTTTGGTAACATCAAGTATTTTACATAGGGTCAACATGACGACCCAGGTTGGTTGGGGGTTCCGCGAGGTAGTGCGGTGATTTGTTCAGCAACGCCACTCTCCCCTCTAAACCGTCAGGAGTCGGTCTGTGGATATCGAGTGGAATTGCACGCTACTGGTATACTTAAGATTCCATGCTAACACCCACTGGCAGAACTGTCCCTGTCCAGTCTAGGGCTAGCCATGCCACACCTCAGGGACTGAGCTATAGAGTGGGTAGTGTCTGAACACTCAGTTTCCTCACCTCAACCACCACATCACATAGCAGTCAACGATAGTGCAGAGTGGCGCTGCACTCGGGGCAAATATTTCCCCTGCTAGCTGGGTCTGGGCAGTGTGAACATTTCTGCACCCAGCTCTAAGCACTGAGGTCCAACGGCGGTCTCCCCACTACATGTGCCTACTGTAGACAACACCGACCCAATAGTGTGGCTCACAAGACCACGCCAGGACAGCCCCTAGCCTCCCGCACCAGCTACACGGACTGCCTGACTCTGTTAGCCATTTCCTTCAGATGACCTCTCAAGCGGCACGTACAGGCATGATTTGGATGCTACTTTGCCTCCGGCCAACACCCCATTGTCTCCCGGGGCAGCACCTACAGAGACAGCACCGAGCTACGCAGGCTTATCCCCACCTGCATCCCGGGCGGGGGAACCCACCGACCTTCCGAGCCGTCATGGCTTCCAAACTCAATATATTGCCCCATCTTCCAGCTACCTGCTGTGTCTCTCTGGCCAGAGCGTTCCTGAGACTCCTTCCCCGACGATTTCCTAGCCCCTATCAGCCAAGTGCAATCTGCAATCCAGATGGGCTTCTAATGCTCCTGCTCTTCAGACTCTACCCAGTGGTTCCACCGCCGGATCACCCGTACACAAGAAGCGTGAACACTCCTTGTCTTCTTCTGTTTGGTCCAAACATAAGAAGTCTTGCTCTTTATCCTAGCAAAACCTTTCTTCAGCTGAGTTGATGACAGCAGTCCTCTCTCTCAGAGGCGCTGTCTACAATAGCCAGTCGCCTTGAGTCAAACCCCATTTCCCAGGCAATTGCTCTGGATCCAGATCCCCTACATGCAGAACCCTATCTGAATCCACATATGCATTTGACTCCGCATCCGGCTCCATTGATCCGTCCCTCGCACAATAGCTTCCAATCCTCAACCTATTTGGGCTCTGGTTCCATCTACAGTTCACACCTGGTCCCAACCCATGACCATGGCACAACAGGTGACGTATCCCTTTCCGCTGAACAGCTTCAAGCGGATTGTGATTCGTCCTGCGATGACGAAGACATTACCTCGGCAGCGAACTTAACCCCTCTGGAGGCACGTCTCCATCTCCTGCAGAAGGATATGATCCAGATTTGGGGCTTACCTACTAACCCTTCTCAGCTGAGGCCTCATCACTTGCCCCTTTTAAGTGCCATCTCGCCAGACTGGAG